GTGGGGTGGGGGGGGGGGGGGGGGGGGGGGGGGGAGGGGGGGGGGGGGGGGGGGGGGGGGGGGGGGGAGTGGGAGGAAATGAGGGGGAGGAGGGAGGGAGGAAAGGGATAAGGCCCATGTTCACTGCCCAGAAACCTACAGCCACAGCAACATGGAGCTTCAGGGCTCACGGCCATCAGCTCCAGGCGACACAGGAGGTGCCGTGAGCAGCCGAGGGAGAGGCAGGGGCAGAGCATGAGACAAAGGCTCCGTTCTTCCTGGGACAGCAGGGAGCCTGTTTTGACTCAGGGGGAGTCAGCCCCTCGGGAACCCTAGTTCTGGGGCCGTGGGCTCTGCGATTCTGGGGCTGCAGGTTCCATGGCCCGCGCTGCCAAGGCCTGAGCCCGGCCCCCCTGAGGCTCTGTGCCCAGCCCTCCTGCAGGTCCCCCACTTCAGAGGACAAGCTCACACCTGGGGGTTTCCTCCTCGTCCCCCAGCCCGAGTCCCAGCGCCTCTCAGGGCCACAGCCAGAGAAGCTGACCACCAGGGCCATGCGGGCTCTGTGGAGGGTCCCAGGGCTGGTCCTGGGGCTGGTGTGGCAGGGACCCCGGGCGGCTGGTCTCAGGGCATCACCTGCCCAGCCTGGGAACTGGCTTGTTTCTCTTGGCCTGAGGAACCCAGGGCTCCGCTGGGCATTCCCAGGGATAGGCTTGCCCCCGAGGCAGGGAAGGGCTGCGTGTGACCGCTCGGTGTGGGCAGGGCGGCCCTGAGTCCCAGCCCCTGACCCGGCCCAGGACACCAGCAGCCCCAGCATCCGGGAGGTTGGCTCTGGACAAGGGCTAAGGTCCCAGGGGAGAGCTAGGCCCTAGGAGCAGGTGACAGGGGCCCTGTCTAGGCCTGAGGCCCTGTGTGCAAAAGGTGCCTCTGGCTCCCACTCCCTGGCTGGGTGCCCCGGGCCAGGCCCGCCCCTGAGTGTACCGGGGCCCGTGTGGGACTGGGAGGGACGGAGCAGGACCCAGGGGGACACTGCACTGACTCTCGGGTGTGGCCGGGCCCTGCGGAGAAGGGGGTGGGGGACACAGGAAGGGGAGCCGCCCAGGCCTGTGCCGCTCCTCTGCCCGATGTCAACATTCTGCGGGCACCGCCCGGCCTGGGAACAGGGCTGCCTCCAGGGCTGGGTGAGAGGGCGCGAGTTCTGGAAAGCAGTGACTTTCTTTGGCAGGCGAGGGGGTGGGGCAAGGGTGAGAGGAAGGCATGCCTGATGCTGCCCCAGTCCTGGGGACCTGGCGCCAGCCGGGCCTCTGTGGTCCTCATTCCTGACCGGTAAAGCGTGCTGGAAGGGGGCCAGTGTAAGGGGTCATGACAGCTCCTCTGTCCCCTGCATCCTGCCTCCTGCCTTTAAGAGCAGAGCCAGGTCACCGCCTGCAGGAAGCCCTCTCTGACTGCACGGTCTCAATGACTCCAGATGTCTGAGAGCTCGTGCCATCGGAATCACCCACTTCCTCCCACAAGTCAACTGTGTCTGGGGCTGTTGTTGACCCGACTGTGACGAAGGCCCCAGGACGGTTCTGTCAGGGACAAAGGCTCCTCTCACGAGCCAGACCCAGCTGGTGCCTCTCTCCTCCCGATGTCCTGGACCTGGGGTTCCGCCAGGTCCCCCAACCAGTTATTCCAGCAGCTCCCGTGAGTCACACCCCCCACCCCGCCAGTCAGCACCCCGTCACCGAGCCCTGTGCCTTGCTTCCCAGGCCCCGGCATGCTCGCCCGCCCCCCGCCCCCCGCATGGTGGTGCCTGATGAGTGCGGGGAGGCCTCAGAACTCAGGGTGACTCTCTGTCTGGGGTAGGACATGGGGACCCCCACGTGACCAGCCTGTCCAGCGAGACCCCAGCTGCCCGGACCAAGCCCTCGGGAGCCAGGCCCGGCG